TTCTTGAAACTTTATGGATAAAAACGAGCATAGACTTATGTTAATTTACAATTCTACTAAGAATAGTACTCGTTGTAAATAATTGCAGATAAGCAACTATGAGAAAGAAGTTGAGGAGATGAAACATATGACTAGACAAGAATTTGTAGCCTCCATCCGAAGGTAAGAACACGTATTATTTGTATAAATTACTTACTGGCGTAAAAATTAATTGCTTTTAAACAAGTTAAGAATAAAATGACAACAGTAAGATTTTGTCGCAGACTGATCCTTTTTGAATCTTTGTATTGACTGTTTCTTACAGCTGCTAGTTTTGCGTCTTATTGAAAAATAGCAAGTTATTATTTTATAATTTTCTGTCAGTTTTCGTTCTTCAGTCTTTAATTAATTACCATTCTATTGTTAAATCCAGGAAAAGTAGTGGATTTTCCAGGGGAGCATCAATGTATCGTGGGGTAACAAGGTGTTAAAAATCACTTCTTTTCACACCTATTCTTTGGATACTCTTTTGCTTCATCCTCCTCCTGCTTATAACTCTTCTATCCGATATCTCTCTCTATCTATGATCATCTATTTTTGTATCTGTGTTTGTCTGTCTCTCACAGGCATCATCAGCATGGAAGATGGCAAGCAAGAATTGGAAGGGTAGCTGGAAACAAAGATCTTTACTTGGGAACTTTCAGTAAGCAATTCGATTATCATATTAGTACTACATGTTTCAGTTTTAACAATGAGAAGCAGAGTACAAGGCGATCTTACGTTTCACACTAAAATTAGGAATATTAAGTCAATCTGGAATCGAGCAGATAAGTGAAATATGTTTAGGATCCAAACCCTGCAACATCAATCCATGCATGTTGCAATAAAATCATGACCACCTTAAGAAATTGCATTTTTTTTGCAGGTACTGAGGAGGAAGCTGCAGAAGCATATGACATTGCTGCAATAAAGTTCAGAGGCCTTAATGCAGTTACAAACTTTGATATGAATCGTTATGACGTGAAGACCATTCTTGAAAGCAACACTCTTCCAATTGGAGGGGGGGCCGCGAAACGTCTCAAGGAAGCTCAAGCAATCGAATCTTCTAGAAAACGTGAAGAAATGATAAGTTTAGGCTCAAATATTCAGTATGGAAGCTCAAGCTCAGGCCCTCTGCATGCTAATTACCCACTAATTCAGCAACCATTTGACAATACACAGCCTTTACTAACTTTACAAAACCAGGATTTATCCCTATACAATCAAGAATCCCACTACCAAAGCTACATCCAAACACAACTCCAGTTGCACCAGCAATCAACTTCTTACAATATTCACCAGAATAATCACTTTTACAACAATTATTTTCAGAATAATCCTGTTTTACTCCACGGGTTTATGAACATGGGAACGTCTTCTTCGATTATAGACAGCAATGGGAGATCAAGTATTGGAAGTTACAGTGGAGGACACACTGTAAACGGGATTGAAATGGGTTCAAGTAACACAATTTCTGCAGGACGAGGTTCAGCTGAAGAACTTGCACTGGTTAAAGTTGATTATGATATGCCTTCTGCTACTACTTACACTGGATGGTCAGGAGATTC